CTAACTTGTCATACATTATTCAGATGAGATCCCGTTATCCCAAAGTATAGTTTCTTTGCGTGCTAATCTTGGGCACTGAGAAAGATAGAAAATTAGGCTAGCTTTTGCAACAATATTGCCAAGTAAGGTATTATTCTTCTAACTTGGAACTCAATAGCATCGCGTTCGTAAATGCGATCAAGCCAAAGTCGCAAAAATGATATATATCAATATATCAAAACATAATAAGGTAAGGTTTAAAAAATGTCGTCCTTTTCCTGCTGCTTTAATTTCATTGTTGGCATAGAAAACATTATATTATTTTACATAATTACAGCATGATAGTTGTATACCTTGATCAATATTCTGAAACCTCTATTTCGCCTTCAAAATCGGCTTTGCAAGCGCCATACGAATTTATGAAAAAACTGAGAAGTGAACGTACAGAGTATCAAAAGTTGTATGAATGCCATGCTAAGGAAAAGGATTAAAATCTTTTGAGTAGAAGTAGATCAACTATGAGGTGTTGTATTGTTTATATAGTATAAAACATTTTAAGCGAGAACAATAAAAAAGGCAAAGCGCAAGAAATACATAGTTAGAAATTACAAATGTTTCCAGATTACTGGCGTATATCAGAGCTTATGCAAATCAGGTTGCAGCTACTGCAGGTCAAAGTACTTAATATCACTATTTCGCAAAGCAGGAACATATCTGACAAGAACAAATAAATTCAAAATATGTCTACGGTGTTTTATGCTTTCGAGAGGAAGCACAACAGTTTGACCCTTCATTTCCAACTTTTCTTCATGTGTTTCATCACTACATATAATAATATGCGCCTAGAAGATTGGATAATTTAAAGTTTTGAGTGATGTATATAATATAGTATGCGGAATTGTTTAGTGCACTCAAGCACGAGCTGTGCCTTTCCTCAGTTGCGTAAAATGTTGCTAGAACACAGTTAGAATATGGAAGGATAGGATTAAGAATTAAGTTTTGCAACAATTTGATGAGCGTATTATGGGTACGATCGTATCGTAAAAAGTGCTAGGCTTGATGTGTAGTTCACATACGGAAGGAATTTTTTGGGATATTTCGATATATATATTGTAAAGCTGTTCAGTCTAATACGCAAGTTTTTCTCCTGTGAGTGAGCGTCAAGTTATTTGTATTTGGAGAAATGGAGTTAAAAATAAGCTTTCGTAAGCACCCGCTTGATAATTTTCTGTTAAGTATTTTAGAAAGTGAATTTCGTGACTAACTAAGAACGGGGTTTTATGAATAGCGAAAACTTAGTAATATTGATGATTTTACATTAGAATGGCGCTAAAAGGTGAGTCTGGAGTGATATTTTTCGTATTTATTGTTTGGTGGAACTCAATAAGTCTCCTATCAGATTGCAGGAAGACCTATTTCTATTTTGAATTTAGTCTTTTTTTTTTCAAAATCCACAGCAGTTCTTAAGCGGAGGACGACCAAGGGTATGTAAAAAAAGGCATAACTTCCTTTTACACTATTTTGCAAGTATCACTATGCCTCCACTACACTGTATTTTTTTCTTGAAGCTGTGTTTTAATAAAGGTTTTGAAAGTCCTCAGGTTTCTTTCAATTTAAGATACTAATACCAGTACAGAGTACCTTCAGAGTTAGAATCAAAAAAAATTTTTGGGATCGAATTCTAATTTTTATGATAGAGCTTGGATATAGGTTAAGCATTGAGGATGAGAGGAAAGGTTTTCTTCAGAACCTGCTCGGAAAGAATATAAAGCTCTGCTAGGGAAAGCCAATTAATGAACCGTTTGGCAGAAAATGCAATGGTACTTTTTTAATCCACAAAATCTTAAATAAATTTCGAGCTTTGCCTGCCTAATAAAAATACGAACTCGTTTTCGCTTAAAGCAGGATAATATTCTCTTACGAAGTCTGAACTTAAACATACAAATAAGTAATTTACAGTCTGAATATTGCTCCACTTTCGAGTGGAACAGGAAATGTTTTAGTAGCTTGAACTGCGTCGGAATCAGGTTACGACGACTTTTCCGTTTCAAGTGCAAAAGCTTTTTGCTGATCCGCTCGCGGAACCGTAAGTCATCAGTTTGCAACGGAAGAATGAATAAAATACAGTTGCAAAGTTGCAGCGAACAATTTTACATAAAAGCAGATCAAATTTATCTTACCTCTCAGTGTAACCGTGTTCATAGATAAAGTATAGAGTGAGAATGGCCTTCATTCCATAAAACGAGAATCGCTCACAGAATTCATTCCCAAGCATCAAAAATACCGCCGGCGGGTATCTGTAAACATTCTGTTTATATTCTCAGAAAACTATTCGCTGGATGATCTTTATGATTTTTGAAACTAAGTGGGATGAACTGTCGTAACTTTCGATTTTTTCTTTATAATTCCTAACAGCCATTATTTGAAAAAAAAGTCAGCATATTTAATGCAATTACTTCACTCACGATTTGAGATTAGAAATAAGACCAAGCTCCTTCGCCATGTTTGCGTGATGGTAATGCCGTTTCCTGCGTTGTGGAAGAATCGGCTCACGTTGTTCTGAGCTCTCTGAAATCGTTGGTTGGTTGAGGATTATGAGATCTCCTGGCGATGAATGGGACAGGTGGGATGAGGGCATTGGTATGACTGATAAGTGCAATCGTTCGATGAGCGTTTTTGGACCACCATGTTTTGATTGCGTAAAACACGTGGTTATTGAAATGAATTTAGGAGAAGAAAACGTTGGGAAGTGGGAAGTATGCGCGAGGTAATTACGGTACTAGTAGTCTAGGGAAAGGCTAGAAGGTTATACTTCTACTATAGAATGATGAAGAATTGCAAAACAAATTTATAAAGTTTAAGCAACGAAACAAAAATTATTTGCCTATTAATTTTAAGATTTTTTTGAAATTCCATATCCTAAAATC